TCTATTTGGTTGCTTTATGTTGTCAACATAACATATACCCAATTATCCGCAAAAAACTGTCCAATCCCTGATTGTCACCTAAACCGAAATTCCCTGCAAATCGGGAGAATTTCCCTCGAGTTGACTTCCCTGCACGCGATACATAATTTATATGCTGTGTATGTCGCTTTCTGATTCTTATAGAAATCTTTTTTTATTTTTGCTGGTTTCTTTTCACTTCGTACATATCTTGGAAACCCAAAATTGTGTGTATTTTAGAGATTTTTTGCATCACATGCCGAAATTGTAAATTTGTTTCCTTATTTTAATTGTAAGTATGTATACAGTATGTAACTATACCCGCCTTTAACCTAACTGGAAAGACGCATACATTCTTACCTATGTTTGTACATACATATCGTCGTTTAAAGTGCAAAACCGCGTATCAACAAAATGCAAAACCGCGTATATGAAGTTGTAGAAATTATATTCTAGAGCGTAAAAACCCTCATATTTCAAAATGGTTCTCTATTTTATAAAGCGATCGCATTTCTGGCTAGTATATTTAAGGACGAATGGATAAGGATTGAGACAAGAGCTTGTGTGAGCAAATCCAATATTTGGCATCAGTTACGCGGATTGCAGAATGATTTTACGCGGTTTTGTACTTTAAACGACGATATGCATTTAGTTCACTTATGTGCCGCTACTAATTATGTATAAATTGCCACTAAGCAAAAATGCATGAGTAAAAAAGGCGAGTGCAGCACCGTCCTCGTGATAGCAGTGAAACTTCTTAAAAAAACACATGTGTGCATCGCAGAGAATGAGACGAATACAGTTGCTTATTATATCTAATGTTGCTACGAAGTTGCTACGTTTTTATCATTTTTCACATTTAATATTTTTTTTTTTTTAAATTTTTAATTTTTTCTTTGGGTATGAAGGATTGCTCATTCTTTGTCGCTTTATGGCCTTATTCATAAAATAAAGTAGCTTTAAAAAAGGTCTATAAACTGAAAAATGTATGAAAACGTCACTTTGTAAAGCTCTTTAAACCTACTTTATTTTTTATGAATAAAGCCATTATTCTGTATTCGCAAAATTAAATGTTTCAATGGAATTGAATTCAATGTTAATTATTTGAATAAATTGTTTAGATTTAGATAGCGTTTTTAGCAATTTATTTGAGAGAAATAAAACATTTATATTTTTGTTTTGATTTTCGTTGATTTTCCATTTGCTATCCCAAAATAATTGATATCAAATAAAACACCTCCTTGAGGTAAAATTTTCGAGTGACTAAAGCTGAACTAGAAACACAAAATTTATGATACCAATTTCGGGACGAAAATTAAACTAATTTTTAAACTGCCCTAGAAACTGACGGAAAATAGTTTTATTTATTCGGAACGTTGCCAAAATTTCCAATTTTTTATTTTGTGTTTCTAATTAATAAAACTATTTTCCGTCAGTTTCCAGGGCAGTTATATATGTATGTATATGTATCTAATATCTGCCAGCGCACGGTCATTTACAAACTTGGTAGCGTTTTAACGATCAAATCACTACACGATGATTATAGGGCTGTGCTGCCAAGAAAGAGGTATCCCATCGAGTAATTTTGTACTACTCTAATGTGATGCTAAAGAGCTATTACATATTTACTTACGGTTTGAGAAAATATTGATTAATTCCTTAGCCACACTACGCCAAAAATCTGAAAAAACCAATTTTACATCCATATAAATTTAAGACCTTACTTAAATAGTCTAACTTCGACCATTTTTATCCAATTTCATTAATCCAGGTATTAGTTTCTTCTACATAAATGCTAGAAGGAAAATGGGGGGGGGGTTANAAAGGGGGGGGGGGGGGGGTTTCAACTTTATCCCATGAAAATCTCAAAAATCTAAAAAAAATGCAAGGTTCAAGAATTATAAGAAACCTATTTTCATGATGTACTCGCCTCTTCCTGGAACCTACCCTAAGGTTTTTCCGGTGTATTTCGTGCTTTTTTTTGCCGCACAGTGTAATCAAACTCGAAAGAAGGAGCTGCTTTAATGCAGGTACATAATGATATACCCCCTTTCGGGTTTTTTGTAAAATCCATTTACATATGGCTCATTTCACGGTGACGGGTGTGACATTTCAACTTGCATCTTAAGGCTTAATTCTTAAACTATAATACCAAATTATTTAAAGAGCTTATTTTCTGTTAGGTTTCCGATGTATGCACAATGCCTAGAAATAAAGTTTAAAAAAATTTTATCCAAACGAGTTATATGAATTTTAGTCACTATGACGGGTACGCAAACAAACTTAGCTTCTGCTTATGATTTTAAATAGTTCAATGTATATTTAGACTAAATGAATATTCTCAACATTTTCGTTGAAGTTGCATACCTATATTTGAAATTATAGATTATATGTTTCAAACTCAACTGTGACCGGTGTGACAAGTTGAGCATGAATAACCAAATACATATTAGAGGTACTCTCCTAAACTTGCAAACACACAAAAACAAATTATATGGGAAACGCCCTTTCCTATCGCTGCAAAATATGCAACGTCGAAACCCATGTATATATTTTGCAAAAAAGCATAGCAAAATAAATGCGACCCTGTGCTAGTTGTTTTGTTGTTGGAATTGCTACATATTTCTTTCATTCCTCTCATCTCGCTCACTTAATTTTTGTTGCTGTATCTTGTTATTGTATTTGATACAGAATTTCGCTGCTTGCTACTTATGCATGCTACCCACTTTGCAATGGTGTGCTCTCGTACTCTTCCAAATTTGGAATAGAATTTTTGCATTTCGTGCAATCCTTGCATCGTGCAAGACTTCGAGAATACCCCTATTATTAGACTATAAAACTAACTTTATTTCTCAAAAAATCGGATTTTACAAACACACAAAAGATTCTGCCACCTAAAAACGGGATAGTCCTTGCTCGTACTCTTCATCTCCACTGTCTGAGTAGACATCATTTTTAACCGATTTCCAAAAAAGGAGGAGGTCATCAGTTCGTCGGAATATGTTTTTTTTTATGTATGTTACCGCATAACTTTGGACCACGTCAACCTATTTCCATAATTCTTTTTGCATCGGAAAGGTAGTGTCTCAGAGGTTTAAATCCGATCATTGGATAATTTTTTTATATGAGAATTGAAGTCGGTTTTTTTGCTAAAAATTGTTTGTTTTAAATATAACTACACTTTTCGTGAGGCTGTTACCTGTCAAACCGTATGAGATACTGTTTTAATCCTGACAAGTGAAGTAATGATTTCATTATATTTGTGGTAGCATAGGTGTGATGGGCGTGACCACCATAATCGTAAAAGCATATAAAAACTTAAAAGCAATTCGCAGGTATTCGCCTATGTCACAGCGTTACTTTTGTCAGTTTTTTTACAGTGTGCAAGATGTGCTTTCCTTCAAAATAAACTATTGTCTGCATTTTGTGACGGCCGTGACACTAAAATCTGCTTTGCTTCAATTTGTAATCAATTTTAAACAAAACTAAGCTATCATATGAGTTTGTAAATGGAGCAACCAAAAGTAAAAAAAAATATATCTCATTTTAAGATAAAATTCGGAATTTTGGCTTTTAGTCTTGAAAGTTGGATTTATGTATTTACTCTTAGTTACTAGAAATAATACTCTCCAATTCTGAAGTTTATATTCATGTTAATCGGTATCGATTACCGTGGATTGAGCCATATGTGAGATATATTTTAGATTTAATGTGTATGCATCTGCGCAAATAAAAGTTTGTAAGTAAATAAATACACATACATCTATATGTTTATGAATACTAAAAGTGGCTATTTAAAAATGAATGGATTTGTATTTACTCAAGGATTTAAAAGCACAAAGCATCGAAGCGTTTTATAGTTTGAACGTTTCAAAGTTGTTTACAATCGGTGTTTACCTTGATTGTAGTAGCCATTGTTGTATTGAGAGGAATTATAGACGGGCATGGTCGCGTATTTATTGGACCCGTAGCTGGTTGTTATTGGCTTTCTAAACTGTGTCGAGTACTTGTTGTATGTGTTTATGCGGCGACCTGCGTTCACATACACATATAAATTGGTATGAATGCATGTATACAAGTATGTATGGATGTATGTATGTGCATGGCCGCCATGTTTTTATCGTTTTGCTTTGGCGGCGTAGTTTTGACCGGGAATAAAAAAGTTGTATACTGAACCGGTACAATTAATTGCGAATACCGACTACATGACCTAGATATGAGAAGCACTCGAAGGTTCGTTTAAGTTTTTGTAAAAATTTGATGAAAGGTGGAAAAACTTAATTCTGTATTTTTAAGCATTAAGGCCTATGAAGATTGTTTAAAGAATTGTTTAGTTGAATTTTGAAGTATAGTTTAATAAAGATTTTGCAGTTCATGTATTTGTTAATGAATGAGTGAGTGTCTTTATCTTTTCTAGTGCGGAGTTAATAAATTTTGTAGGCCAATGAAGAAGAGTATGTATTTTGCGAAGCGATTGGTTAAAGCGCATAATTAAATTAAATAACCATTCAATTTCAATTAATGCATTCATACCACTGTGGCTCTCATATTAAAATAGTCAAATTTAATTTTTTTTTAATAAAAGTTGTACACTAGTAATTTGCTTTTTGTTTCGAGATAACTTAAGTCTTTGTAAACTCGTTGGCATCTGTATGTATATTATTTCAAGAATGAAAAGCCTACTTAGTACTAGGCACATAATTACTAAGAATCATGTATTTACATACCTATCTACAATATTTTACGACTACGCATGTTCTTTTCTAGTTGTCCTGAATATCCGAAATAAAATGAGATCAATTTTTACACAGAGAATGTATATTGTCCTACCATACCGCAAGGTCATATGTTTAAATTGATAAAAATTTGGTTGAACTATTTGAGCTAGTGTGATCGCTAAAAAAAAAACTAGATCCATTCCACACCACTTGAATAGTAATCATGGTCATCGTCGTAGTATTGATGATATTTAACATCCTTACCTTGCTGGCCCACGTTATTGCGCGGCAGTGTGGCGTACGGGTTGACTGCAGACCTCTGCGGTGGGTATGCAACCGGGGATTTGGGGGCAGAAGCTGGCGCGCCAGAAGCAGCTCCGAAGGGTCTAGCATAACCCTGATTGACCTAGAAGCAAATAAGTTTACGTTAATTTTAATGGATATAGAAAAATGTATGCTCATGAATATTCTTCGGTGGCACTTAGTTTGAAAACCCAGTTAACACACGTAGATGGTAGTTAGGCATAACAACAACAAAACGAACTCGAAAACAATTGTATGCTGTTTCGACAAAGCCTAGGCGTCGTTCAGAGCCGATAAACGCACTTACCTTGTAGTTGATGTTTGTACCCTTACCAGGAGGCACAACACTGCGGATGACGCTGCCCGTCAAGGTAACGTATTCCCCAAATGGCGATTGGTCGAGTTCCGACGGCTGATTAGCCAACATTGCTGAGGTCGCCTCTCTTGCTGTGTCGGGGATGCCTTCAAATTCACTTAACTGTGCACTTTCGCAACGATTACTAATATGACTATGGCAATTGCTATTGACAGCGTTTATGAGTGTAGCACTAGTTATTTCTGTTTTTGGAGTTGAAGACAATAGTGCTGGTGGAGGTAATGTTGAATCTGTTGCCGATTTCGCAACCTGCTGACATGGATTCAATTGATTAGTGAAGTTCGCTGATATGGCTATAACCGAAGGATGCGTGTTTTTTGTCGTTGCACTGGCTGTGTCTATGCCTGGGACTGCGTCTGTGGTTGTGCTTATTAAGCCTGAGGCTATTGAGTCTAAGTTTTTGACTGATTGTGCATGAGAGGTCATTAGTGTCTGAGTTGATGGGTGGTATGGTAAGGCGGTGTTGTTCAAGCGATTTTGAATGTTGTTTGTAACGAGTGACTTGTTCGACTTCTCATAGTGCTTGTGATTACTTTTTGAGGAAATGTCAATGGATAGGGAATTTGTTGAAATGTTATTCTTATTGTTTTGTGTTAGCAACTTGTTGGAATACTCCTTCAAGAATTTGCTATAAACTCCACCTGCTAGGCCACCGCCGATGCCATGCTGATTTTGTGAGTTCATATCGTTTTCGCATGGTTGGCGATGTGGTTGTTGGATCATTTGTACTGGTAGAGATGGAGGTAGCGGCGGTGGGGGTGGTGGTGATGCTATCGGAGTCCTATTGGAGTCTGTGCTTGTGCCACACACTGAAGAAGGTGCCGATGAGGTTTGACGGGAACGCAACGACGAGGCAGAAGTGTATCCACTAGATGTTTCGTCTACCATTGGTGCTGTTGATATCTCTTCTGTCATAGATGGAATGTGACTCGGCTGTGCTGCTGATGTCCTGGACGAGTTATTGGAAGAAGTCGAAAGCGTTGAATGCCTGCTAGTATGCAGTAATTTTTGTTTCGTGTCGGTGGTGTTATCGTCAACAGCGGCACAGTATTGGCTATCGATTTCTAACTGTTGCAGCAAGGAAGGTGATGGTGGTGGTGGCAGTGGCAAGTCAGTGTTATCCTCTTTATTTTCATTTGCGCTTTCGTAAGCTTGTGGCCTCTGCGTATTTCGTGTTTGTTATTTGAAAGCAGAGCCATTGTTAGTCGGTTAGCAAACACACAAAAGCGTGCAAAGAAAAATAAGTATTCAAGGGTAAGTGAAGGCAGGATAGCACAACGCAAAAAATGAAATGAAATGAAAAAATGAATAAAAATTCTAACAAAAATAAATAAAAAGTAATGATTCGTAGTGCTAAGTAATAAACAGTTCCCGAACGTTAATGTTCATTTTATCCCTTTATTGGTAAACTGCGCCAAACTGGGGAAGTACAATTACCAACTGAAGTCCAACCAGCAGAGCACGCTCAACAACAAAACGTATTCGTCTTTTCGATTAATGTTTACCATATTAGAATAAAAATTATTTTTTCCTTTCAGTATTAAGATTACTAAACTATCGCAGAACTAGCTCATTAAGAGGCGGTACTGGTTCTCGATCAATGCCAACGCAATGCTTTCAACTGTCTCTTTTTATATGGCGATGTCCTACGAAGTGGAAATTGCCCCCTCTGCAGAACTTTTGAACTAGTTATGAACTGGTTGCATTTTGGCCAGATCTGCGACAATCAGGTTTTTATGAAAATAATTTTCATTTTTATAAGTTTTGTTCGTTTTTTCTGTTCTATTACAGATTGCTTTTTACTTAATTTGTTTATTGTTTTATTTTATTTACATTGAATTTGATCATTTTATCTTAAATTTTTAAGCGGCACTCACCCATTTAAATTTACTAAATCTGAAAATCGCAACTGCCTCCATTCGCGATCGACGATGTTAGAGTCGGATGTCTACGATAAGTGAGAATTTGTACATTTACTTCTCAGCTTTCACACACTAAATGTGAGAAACTTTGAGGAGAGCGCAACAAGCATACTGTACTAGTTCGGAACTAGCGGTTTGACAGACTGTCTTTAAATTTTACTGCAGGGTATGTACACTAACATATGGTCGTTTAAAGTACAAAACCGCGTATTGGCATTCTGCAAAACCGCGTAACTGACATTTGCTGCCAAAAATTGGACTTGCTCACTCAAGCTCATGTTCTTGTAGGTGTGCTCACAGAACAAGACTTCTAACCTATTTCTAGGCACAGTTGTTTTCCCCATATAAAATACATTGAAAACTTTGAGCGCTTTGAGCACTCCTTAAATTTTTCTTTTATTTCAAAATAAAAATAGGGGTATACTTTTTCGGAATAGAACAATCCTAGGGGGTGGCAGCATTAAAAATCCGACCTTCTTTTGTTACATACATTTTTGGACGACTTTAGTATACGTACTCAGATATGGGCATTCAAATACGTGCGTGCTAAATTTTGGTATGAAAGCATTACTTTTAAATACGAACATTTTTAAACGATAATCAAATAAAAAGTATTAATTTTTACTATGTATTATTTCCCTCAGTGTAGGGAACATAGTTTTCCAATTTACAGAGAAAACAGTTTTTAGCCACTTTTATTAAATTCAACAAGTTTTATTGAGCTTGAGGCCGTTTTTAATGAAAACCTATTGTGGAAAAGCAACAATAATTTTGAAAAAATGGTAGAAGTGACAGCTATTTCGGAAATCACCACATTTCATCATCACACTTCTTTCTGTGGGGCTCAATCCAACGACCCCAGCTGACTCGCTATCACTTCTAGCATTTTTTTCAAAATTATTGTTGCTTTTCCACAATAGTTTTTGATTAAAAACGGCCTCAAGCTCAATAAGAATTGTAGAATATAATTTTCATAAGGCCATGAAATAACAAAAACATAATTATGAAAATTACCTATAAAAATTGTCCACTTCAAAGCCAGGCAACGTGTCTTTTTGACAACTTTTTCATAGGCAGGCCGATACCACTGCACTCACAATAAAATTACCTTTGATTTGACATACAACTCGACTGGCAAACAGATGGCTGAAAATTTCTAAAAAAAAACGTGCTTTAACACCTATTACCTATTACACCTTTAACCTATTGTGGCCTTTCGATTGGTATACATTTCTTTTGGTAAGCAAAGGGTGCAATTATTGCAAAAAGTGCTTTTATTGTCTTAAATGAATCATAGCCTGGACTGAAATTTTTTAGGCAACTCATGTTCAAAAGTTTTCTTTTCACATGGCGTTCCATAAGAAATATGTTTCATCCGGCAAGCCGATGGGTGCATACCAACAATATGTTCGTATCTTAGAATATTATTGTGAATTTGACTTAAAGAAGTTGCCACATAAAAAAATATTAAAGTTCTAAAAATTATAACAATATGTTTTTGTACATTTTATTCATACCCTATAAAGGTTTTGGCGAACGTTCGAAAATAACCTTCGATTTCCAAAATGCATATCGAACTGAGAACGAACTCATAACTAACCTTAGTTTTCCAATGTTCATAGTATATTGGAAATACACTCGAGATGGGTTTGAAAAAAAATTAAAACCAGAGTAACAAGAAAGGGAGTGAAATCCAGCTCTCCGCAAAGGGAAATATAAGATTATCACTCTCTCTCATTCAAATTTCAATTTGATAAAGGCGTGAATTTCGAATTCATAACTAAGGAAAAATACATTGGATAACGAAAGTTCCGTTTTGCGGGAGAATGGCCTAGTTCTCGAATCGAATACTAAGCTATTCCACATCGAAGGTGAGAATCAAAAAAGGATTGGTTTTCTAATCATTGTTGACCAAGCCAAATGCTTATTGCGTAGCTATATAGTACATACGGCCGCTGTGGTGTAGTGGTAAGCAGTGCGCGCTTTCACTCAACAGCACCTGGGTTCAAGCCCTGGTCAAAGCAACATCGCAAAAATATAGAAAAAATGTCTTCTTAACGGCGGTCGTCCCTCGGCAGGCAATGACAAACCTACGAGTGTATTTCTGCCATGAAAAACCAAGAATGATAGAATACAAGATTGCGCCGTTCAGAGAGGATTTTTGAGAATAACTTTTGTGTGACGTCACACTGGTGCAATTTCGAGAGAGAAATGCCAAAACGTGAGCAAGAATGGAAGAAGAAGAAAAAATGTTGCAAGGAAAACGTAAACAAGTTGCACAAGTGTGACGTCATGCAAACAACGATTCTGTCAAATTCGTTAAGAGAGGAATAGCGGTCCGAGATCGGCGCAACCTTTGTATTCTCTCAATCGTGATGAAAAACAGCTTCTCATAAAAATACAATCGCCGTTCAGAGTCGGCGTAAAACTGTAGGTCCCTCCGTTTTGTCTGACAACATCAAGGTACACGCCACAATTCGGAGGAGGAGCTCGGCCAAACACTAACATATGTGTAAGCGCCAATCTAAAAAAAAACTTCTATATTGGCAGTACGTTGAAAGTGCGAAAACGTCGTTCTATTAAGAATGATAGATTACAAGATTGCGCCGATCGAGCTGAGAGCAACCAGGCGTGACGTCAACAAATACCAGAATGAGAGAGCAACTCGACAAGACTACAACTAATAATGTCGCATACGTGTTTTTTATGCAAGAGTGCGAAGTGCGGTGACTCCGTGTTCATCGTACCGAACGACGAATATGTAAAGAAGACATAGATGCCTCCTTTCTCCCACAAAGGCTCAAGCGGTGGTCGGCTAATTATATGAGTGGTGGACACTCGTCCGTAACGTTTAGAGACAAATCGAACAAACGCAGAAAAATAAAACAGGGGTTTCCACAGGGTGGTGTCCTTTCCCCACTACTGTTTAACTTTTACATTTCAGAGCTCCCCCAACCACGAGAGGGATTCTCGATTGTCTCTTACGCCGACGATTGCTCGACCATGGCGTCTGGGAATGGAATTGATGACTTGTGTTCGAAAGTAAACGGGTATCTCTCCGAGCTTTCTAGCTTCTTCACTGCGGGGAGCCTAATCCTCTCTCCCCTACAAAATCCTCTGCGACCTTGTTCACCACCTGGACGAAGGAGGTCAGGCTACCGCTGGGAATTCACGTCGATGATACACCAATTCCGACGGTGAATTACCTCAAAATACTCGGAGTAAACTTCGACAGTCTGCTCTCCTTCTCGGCGCACGCAACCGCTATTGTCAACAAAGTACAGAGCCGCAATAAGGTCCTCAAGTTGCTAGCCGGCAGTACTTGGGGCAAAGACAAAGAAACGTTGCTGGCAACATACAAGGCAATAGGCCGGCCGGTTTTAAATTACGCAGCACCAGTGTGGTCGCCGGGGACTAGTACGACGTGGATGAAGCTGCAGGCTACCCAAAACACCACACTACGGACAGCGACTGGATGCGTCCAGAACACCATCTTCACGACGAGGCAAAAATGCTCCCAGTAAAGGAACATAATACAATGCTCTGCAAGCAGTCTCTAGTTGAGAGCCATAGACGTGGTCACCAAAATAGAAAACTGATTGCAGAAGAGCCCTTGCCCAGGCACGTCAGGAGGCATCTCTACGAACTGACGAACGAAGTCCAGAGGTTAATTAAACAACCTCTGGACCCGTCACCTTATCGACAGGCCCTGAGCGGCATTCACAAGTTATGTAGACTCCAGACCTGTGAATGCCGTTCTAGGCACACAACCACCGCACATCGACGATACAGAGCTTCATCTGCCTCGGGAGACTAGAACCATAATAGCCCAACGTCGCATTGGCTTCTGCAGGATGTTAAACTCATACCTGAGCAGATTAGATGCAGATGTACCAAATAAGTGTCCGGAATGCGGAGAGACACCCCATGACTCGAAACATCTCTTCGTCGCCAGGAAAACCCGACAACCCTAACGCCTTTGTCCCTGTGGACCGACCCTATTGAGGCTGCACGCTACTTGGGGCTTCCGTTAGTGGAGCTGGACGACAACGACTGAGATATTAACCGATCTGGGCGGAGTTGTTGTAGCAGCTACGACAACAATGAATATGTAAAAAAAAACAGTGGGAGATAGCTTGCCACATGCCTTTGCCACCAACAGCACGTATTTGCGAGAATCATTTTTAATACCTCCGACCTTTCTAGTACGAGCCTAAAGCGTAAGCGATTGCATCCGGA